CGGTTGTGTTACGCGTTTTAACTTCTCCTCTAATTATTACATTTTAAAGAGTTACAATAGTAATGGTGGAGTAATGGGCAGCGGCTCGGATTGAGGAATCGGAGAGCCGAGTTCGAATTCAAGTTCATTACATGCACTTACGTGCTAATACCCTTGGGAAAGATATGAATCGTCTTCTCGTCCCAGTTATGTGTAAATAGCAAGATGGCAACTGGTCTACTGCAGAAAGAAATGGCAACCTACTGTGAGAAAAAAATCTGCCTCCTCAGTCATGTATCGAAACATACATGATCAGCTAAGTGTGTATCACGCATGGCCCATAATTGACTGAATTCCCTTACGTCCTATTACTCTTGGGAAAGGTAGGAATCCTCTTCTCCTCCCCCAGGAGGGTATGAGTAAAATATCAAGACAGACCGGGTTCTGTAGACTTGGATGGCAACTGGTCTACCGCAGAAAGAAAATGGCAACCTACTGCGGGAAAAAATCTGCCTCGTCAGTCGTGTATCGAAAGATAGATGATCGTCTAAGCGTGTATCACGTATGGCACATAACTGACTGGTTTCTGTTTTGGCACATAACTGACTCATGTCTGTAATAATTTTCACACGATTAGACATGTTTTGATGTTGAAATATGTTATTTAGTGGGTAAAATTGACCGTAGTGGAAAGGGCTATGAAGTACAAGGAAATAACGTTTTTTTCTGATAACCTCCTTTAAATCTTTTTTTTGGTGTGTGTGTATGTTGTGGGGGGTGCGTCCAATGCATTGGAGCGTCTTATAAACAGCGAAACACGGTATTTATTTTGAATGACGAATTAGAAAATTGTTTTCCTTTTAAGAAAGGTTTTGTGTAAATAGATTTTGAATTCTTGCTGTGTATTTAGTTTTTGTGCATTTGAAATTTAAAAATAACGATATCTAATATTTAAATATTTTTGTTCAGATGGAAAACAAAAAAAATATTTTTTTAAAAAAGAAATTTCATGGAACTGAAAAGTAATTTGATGACGATGACTTTTTTTTTTTAAAATATGTTCAGTGTAATGATAAAAGTACGCAGCTTTAAGAAAGCTATATTCAACTGAGAATACAAGGTTCGCGTATAGTGTCATTTTATAGTCCCAATAAACAGAACTAGCTCTCTCAAAGAGGAGAGTAACAGAACGAGGGGAGACCACTCTTGATTATTCGTGCCATTCTGTATTTTAAATACTTTTTTAAATTGTTGAATGGGTATTTCCATGACGATCCATTGATGCAGATATAGGGACAACGAAATAGACAAAGAGATGAGCTATAATACTATTAAGTCGTGCACCAACAAAAAATTCGAGAATCCAGCTACCAAAATGTAAGCTATAGTGAGTTTCTAAGCGTAGCTTAGATATGGCACAAGGCCGAAAGTAATCAGTGAGGATCGAAATCACTATTCAGTTTTAATTCTTCTTGCGATACAAGCTAGTTAACCATTACACCATATAGAGTTGCCCAAATGATTTTCTAAGCGCAGCTTAGATGTGGCACAAGGCCGAAAGTATCCAGTGAGGATCGAAATCACTACTCAGTTGATTTATTGGGAAAGGCTTGTTAACCATTGCATCACGTTGAAATGACCCTTTCGCCCAAATGTAATCTTTGAAGAGATTCAGTCGTTTGCCCCTTAAACATTTCAAAATAAATTACAAGGGAATTTTGAGGTTATACAAAGTTGCTATCAAAACATATTCTGTTTTTTGTTTTTTTTTTATAAAGTACATCAGCCCATTGGCTTCTCATTCTATAAATATAATAGATTTATTTTAAACGTAGAAACTTTCTAATCTTCAGTTTTGAGTACAAAGTACAGGGTGGTCCGAAAGTCTTGTCACCACATACATAATATACTTTTCTATTTCTGATGGATGACACGAGCTCCTACATTTTGGAAGATAGGCTGCTTGCAAGTGAATGGGCGATACGAGAATATCCATCAGTTGAAGGACGTCGTTCGAAGAGCCTTTGCAACAATCAAGAAAGCACAGCTTCGTCAAAATATCACACAGGAAATGGCGCCGCATTATTTTGTGCCATAAAAATGATGGTGTTCATCCAGACCTTCTCCGTGTGTGATAGCGCCGATGAAAGTGAATAAGCTGAATCCAGTACATGTGCTTTGTATTGTTTTTCGCGTTACGTTTTGGTAGGGGTGACAAGACTTTCGGACCACCTTATTATATTAGAAATGCCCTCAATACCTTTATTGGTGTATGATAAGTAAAATTATTGATTCTATTTCATTTATGCCTATACCAAAATATTTATTGCATGAAGGATTATTCTGTTTTTTCAATAATGCCAAACTAGTTAGGTTTAATTCGATTCCATTTGTCTGAATGTTCAGCTGGATCCCATCGTATACCCTCATGGCATCTGACAATGAAAAAAAGTGAACAATCTTTAGCTAAAAGAAACAATGTTCAAAATAAGTTCACTAAAATGTATAAAAATTGCTTTTATGGAAACTTAGCTGTGACCTTTTTAGTAACCCGATGCAGTTATTTTTTTATTCTTTGAAATAGAAAAAAAAAGTGTAAAAGGTTTACCAGCAATGGATAGATCGGTCTGAAAGTCTTGTCACCCCTACATAATATAATTTTCTATTTCAGATGGCTGACATGAACACCACCACGAAAATGGTGGTGTTCATCACGATTTTCTCGGCGTGTGACAGCATCAATGAAAGTGAATAAACTGAATCCATTACATGTGCTTTGTATTACAGTATTACAATATTACCTGTTCTTATATTATTCTCATTACTTTTTGGTAAGGGGTGATAGAACTTTTGGACCGCGTTGTACATTAAAATACACATTACATCTACAACAAGATATCGAAAAAATATTCTCAGTATGCTAAGCTTAGATGTGGTACAAGGTCGAAGGTATAGGGCCCCCTGTGAGAATCGAACTCACTACTCTATCATAATTGACGTTATGAGGCAAGCTTACGAACTATCATATTATGTCGAAGTGCCCTTGGATGACTCGATATGATCGCAAATTTGAGGCCGTGGATTCGAACTCGTCACTATTCTTATATCGGTCGATTTCTCAGGCTGTACTTGGATAGTTTTAAAAGAGAAGACATTGAGGACAAAAAATCAATTCAGAATATCAGTGCTGATTAAAACAGAGTTAAACCCGAATTGGCTTGATGGGAAAGTCACCAGAAATTACACGAAAGCATGACGAGAGGAAACTTTGATCTCTCATTTCATGGCTGCGGCCTTTGCCTTCAGGTTTGAATTACTTTTCTCAAATAAAAATGTCTCAAATGAAATAACCAAATGATTTTCTTAACGTTGTTTAGATGCGGCAGAAGGCCGTAAGTGTGGAGCAGCCAATAAGCTTCCAACTCATTACTCAGTCGTAATTGATGCAGCGTGATTAGCTCGCTAACCATTACACGACTTCAAAGTGCCGAAATGATTTTCTAAGCATTGCACAAAGAATAAAAGAACCCAGTGAGGATCAAACTCACTACTCAATCGAAATTGCTCTTGCCACCATTAACCATTACACTACGTCGAAACGTCCACGATCTGTTCCGTCTGAGCAAGGAAAAGTATTTACGAATGTTTATTTATTTTATACGTTTGCACGTGATTGGCCATAGCGCTTATTTTAAAAGTGAAACTTACTTGCTTCTAGCATCGCTTAACATTCATATCACACGCCTCGATAACTAACTCTCTACCTGGAGTGGCACGTTAGATTTTTATTGGTTGAACTTTTGTTGGTAAGGTCGTTATTCAGAAAAATTGCCCGCAGGCCCTTCTGGGATTGGATCCCCTGAAATTTAAGTTTCTTTATTTTGTGATACCAACGAACAGTCGTTTGACACTTTTGTGATGCCAACGAATATTCGTTGTCACTTTTGTAATGCTCGTTGTAGTAGAGACTTTGTAATCGCAGATACAACTATAGTAACGCCATTGAACAATACTGGTGTCAGACGCCTTCGAACATCACTCGCACTAATAGTATTTGCTCGATAATACTCGCTCGAATAGTAACCCGTATAGTGAAATAGTAGAGAGAAACGGTATAGTGAATAGAGTAGAGAATAGCGGTCCATCTATTAATAGAGGATAGAATAGAAATAGAGATCCTTATAGTAATAGAGGATAGACTAGGATATAGTGATAGACTAGAATGAAGATCGTTGGTCGCCAGCTACTTCCAAAATGTTATAATGTCATGTTTTTTTTTTCGACAGCGCGATAAAATAAAAAAAAGGTTTGTTTTATTTTGCGCTTTTCCCGAGGAAAACACACGTTAATTTAGGAAATTCTTGCAAAAATCAAATAATTGTCGGATTTTAATGAAACTTTCAGAACTTATTCACAAATGAATGAAATTATTTTTGAAATTGTTTTTTTAGAAAATCTTGTTAAAAAGAGATTTTTTTTTAACATGATTCGACCCACTTACATATTTTCATGAAATTTCGAGAAATTAAATCTTCACTCGCGGGATTTGTTTTATTAATTATAAACAGGACTCTTTGTAGAAAGTATATCACCAGTTATTTTGTTTTTTAAACAGTACCCGGTTTCATAAAAAATCTGCTTTGAATTATAAAAAAAAAATGTAAATACGTTTCCTCTATGGTCACGTGGTCTACTTAATTCAATAATGGGATCGACTGTGTTTGCTCACTGGCGATCTATGTTCAAAGTCAAGTGTCGGCAGCGACACTTTATTCCTAAATAACACTTTAGTTTTTATAGTTGATCCTATAATGTCGACACAGCACACATCTTTCAAGCCCTTCTTGATAATAAGGACAACTTGATGACTAACTTCTATAAGTGGGAAAATATAAAGAAATGCACACGAATCTATATTCGCGTACATTTCTTAATATTTTCCCACTCATGAAAGTTAGTCAGCAGGTTGTGTGTTTTGGGCATGAATAAATAAGGGTTACAATTTTGTTCAAGCCACAGGACTAATGTGACTCGCGAGACGAATGAGAGCTACGAGATGAATGTGGACTGCGAGACAAGTGTGGACGTACGATGAATACGGCCGGCTGGACGAGTGCTTGTTGCCCGAGAGCAGAATGTGGAGCGAGAGAATGGACGGCCGATGAATACGGCTGGCTGGACGAGTGCTTGTTGCTGGAGAGCAGAATGTGGACTGCGAGACAAGTGTGGACGTACGATGAATACGGCCGGCTGGACGAGTGCTTGTTGCCCGAGAGCAGAATGTGGACTGCGAGACGAGTGTGGACGTACGATGAATACGGCCGGCTGGACGAGTGTTTGTTGCCCGAGAGCAGAATGTGGACTGCGAGACGAGTGTGGACGTACGATGAATACGGCCGGCTGGACGAGTGTTTGTTGCCCGAGAGCAGAATGTGGACTGCGAGACGAATATGACTCACGAAATGAATGTGACCAGCGGGACGAATGTGGCCCGTCGGACGAATGTGACCCGCAGGACGGATGTGGCCTGTGAGGCTATCCAGTAGAGCTCACTAGTTGTTTTCTATCTGGCTCATATTTAGTAATTTGCAGAAAATTTTACTCTTGGGGTCAGTAACTAATTTTCTGCGATCAATATGGCCCCGCATATTTTTTTAAATTGTTCAAATTTGTTCAGTGAGGATCGAACTCACTACCCTGCATTTGTAATGAACAGCAGATCTCTTGGTTTCCCTACGAGGAACGAACCACTAGGCTACACTTTAGTTATTTAATGCGGTGGTTGCACGGTGGTAAAGTAACTGGCTTTTCAACGCTTCAATAAGCGTCTCCTTCCCGAGCGTCGGGCGCACCGTTCTGTCTGTTAAGGAGGAGAAGGAAGAGGAAGTGTTTTATAGATGGGGTACGCCCTGATGTCTTCCATATGAGCCTGTCTTTATGATATCATATCCCCAGCGGTTTGGAGGAAAAAAAGAAAAAGGCCTGAGGGGTAGTTTTTTTTTTTTTTCGTTTTTCAAAGTAGCCGAAGGAGCAGTAACGGCAACAGAAGCAGGGCTTATTGGAAACGTTTTGGCGCCCTTAGACGAGAAAGATTTGTGTGGGGATTAGGTTTCAGCAAACATCAATTCGAGATTATTTTTCGTCTTTGCACAGTTGGATGCCTTCTGTTGTTGACTGGAGATGGCTGAAGATATCATTAAGAAAGAAAATAAAAAAAGGTGCATAAAATGAATCCCTGTTGATATATATATATATATATTATTTAAACGTTACTTTTAGTGGATAAACGTATATGAATAGACGCTCCGTGTAAATACTGTTTAATAAATAAACCGAGCGTCTATTCATATACGTATATCCTGAAGGCAACGATATATACATTATTTAAACGTTACTTTTAGTGGATACGTATATGAATAGACGCTCGTGTAAATACTGTTTAATAAATAAACCGAGCGACTATTCATATACGTGTATCCACTGAAGGTACGATTATATACATTATTTAAACGTTACTTTTAGTGGATACACGTATATGAATAGACGCTCCGTGTAAATACTGTTTAATAAATAAACCGAGCGTCTATTCATATACGTGTATCCACTGAAGGTACGATTATATACATTATTTAAACGTTACTTTTAGTGGATACACGTATATGAATAGACGCTCCGTGTAAATACTGTTTAATAAATAAACCGAGCGACTATTCATATGCGTGTATCCACTGAAAGTAACGATTTTATATATATATATATATATATATATATATATATATATATATATATATATATATATATATACTCTCTGACAGGATTCGAACCTGTATCCCCTTTTAATAAACCCGCTTTAGATCTGATGTGCTTTGACCTCACGTCCTCGGAGCACATCGATACCCAAGCGAAATCTGAATAATGCCTCTTTGGAGAACGCAGGTTCGAATCCTGGCAGAGAGTGCATATATTTCTAATGAGATTTCTCGAATATTCAGGTCGGTAGACAAAAATAAAGACTGTGTAATAAGTAAATTGAGCATCTACTAAAAAAACAACGTTTAAAGAATAAAAGTCTCTCGGATTAATAAATTTGTTTCTTTAGATGTATATGCACATCGCTGCACAAAAAATAATTGAACCAATAAGATAATATTTTTTAAAAAATGTGTATCGTTTTTCTAGATAAGCAACAAATATTAATCTTTACGAATAAATGCAAAATTAGAGCTCAATTCCCCCATCAAGTCTGAGATTAAAAGGTCCCAACTCTACTTTACAATAATTTGCATGATAATATTTATTGTACAATATGTACAAGTATGGCACAAGGCCGAAAAGGGGGAATGGGAAAAAGGATGGTCTTGTTCTGTCTTAATATTAAACTTAGCTAGCCACAAACACTGACCCAAACATACAAACAATATTCCTTTCACCAAAACAACACATTCTTACTTACCATTCTTACCTCATATACCATAATGCCTCAGAAACTCTATAAATCCTAACTAGTCCCCATATATACAATTCATTGTTTGTGGGGGGAGGGGAATAAAATAAAATTAGAAAAAAATCCCCAATGAGTATTTACAAATGTGTACAAACTATATACAAGAAACTAAACATAATTTTTTGTTAGTAATAAAAAAAAACCCACAAAGCCCTAAATGCAGTAGTAACATCAGTTCACTGGACGAAATCAATGCGGGACTTGACAAAAATAAAATATAAAACATTCATACATATCCCAAACACTCACTCAAACACAAAAACAGTTAAAAAAGTCAGACCCGAAACGAAAGACGCCCCGCTCCCACAAGAGAACTGACATCACAATCCACTTAAAGATGGGATGGACGGGGGAATATATTAATTTACACGATGAAGGATCAATATCTGACATATATTATGTTACTTCTAGGCGATATCACTGTTCAAATTTAACTAATTTGCATATTGATTTTAAAAAAGTATAATTCAGTAATTAACTGTCCTTCATTACTTTTCTTTTATTCGAGGATTTTTTGATTTTCATATCAAACATAGTTCTCTTTAGGAATATTGTCTTATATAGTGTAGAAAAGTGTTTGAAATTTGCACTTTACTTGACCTGCAACAAGTTGGCATCTATTTGTAAAACGTTCCATAACTATAATATGCCTTCCCCCTCATCCAACCAATTAATTTCTTCTGACTTTAAAGTCATATTCTTTGAATAAATATATTGAACGTCCACAACTCCTTTAATATTTCATAAATAGTGAACATTAATCCCATAGAAAAATAACTATTTTTTCCTAGAAATATTACCAGATAGTGAGAGGGCGAAGCTTATTAGTTAAACTATATATTCATTAAAAAAAACTTTTATTAAACGAATTGCAACGACTATAAAAACTGTTATCAAACTGAAATAAAAATATTAATTAAAAATTAAGATATGCCAAAATAAGTGAACCCTTACATTCAAACTCTGTATAATAATGGAGAAGGCTCCAAAAAACTACCAAAACTATTTGGTGAGCACATCTTCATCGTGCGACAAATTATTTTGGAAGGCCATTGGTATGACGGCATGGCAATCAAACAGGCCGTTCGCGAAAAATAACAGCAATTAGACACCTAGTTCGGCAGGCCCAGGCGAATTCTCCAAGGCTGCCTGGCCAATGTCGGAATAAATGTGCATACGTCTACAGTGCTACAAAATCTGACCGATGTTTGACTTCATCACAAAATGCTTAGAAAAAAAGCGACTATTTATGAAAAATAATATCAAGAAGTGCAAGTAGACATCTAGTTCGGTAGGACCAGTCGATTTCTGCAAGGCTCCCATGCCAATGTTGGAATCAATGTGCATACGTCTACAGTGCGACAAAATCTAAACGATGCTGGTCTTCATGACAAAATGTTTAGAAAACGAGACTATTTATGAAAAATATCATCAAGAAGATCAAGTACACATCTAGTTCGGTAGGACCAGTCGATTTCTGCAAGGCTCCTAGGCCAATGTTGGAATGAATGTGCATAGTCTATTGTGCGAAAATCTGAACGATGCTGGTCTTCATGACACAATGCTTAGAAAAAAGCGACTATTTATGAAGAATAACATCAAGAAGAGCAAGTAGACATTTGTTCGGCAGGCCCAGTCGATTTCTGCAAGGCTCCCCAAGCCAATGTCGGAATCAATGTGCATACGTCTACAGTGCCACACAATGTGACCGATGCTGGTCTTCATGACACAATGCTTAGAAAAAGCGACTACTTCTGAAAAATAGTATCAAGAAGAGCAAGTAGACATCTACTTCTGCAGGCCCAGGTGAATTCTTGAAGGCTCCCTGGCCAATGTCGGAATCAAATGCTGGTGTTCATGGTAGAATACTTTGAAAAAAAACATTGCTTATGTATTATATATTTGTGTTTCGTTTCCCCAATCACGTTGTTTGGCTCACATGCACTCCCCTGTATGCTGAGATAGTTTCGACGGGCCGTTATTAATCAAGAATCATCTCCTTGACAAATCGAACGATATCAGGGTCCGAGCCCTTGCTTCATGGTTGCAAAGCTATGCTTCAGCTGCGGGTCTATCCTCCCGAACGGATACGGCAAGAAAATGATTTTGAAAATTACATCACTAATCAAATCGTTTATTACTTTACAAATGTCTCTTTTTTAATGTTATTATTTTAAATTTCTTACCCTGTTTTAGTCAGCTAATCAGAATTACAGATAATACTTATTGTTATCTTAAAATGAGCTATTTACCTACTTGCATGTGTGTATGTCAGTGAAAGAAGCTCCAGGAAGTGTCCGCCCACGCTGGCACCAACATATGCATTCAAAAATGTGCACTGACGTAGATAAAGAGACAACGCCCAGCTTTTTTTTTTTTTTTTAAATCTACTTGCATCTGGGCGCCACTTGTTGTCGTCACTAATGTTTTGTTACGAACCGCCATGACAGATGCGATGATTGAAATGGATCTTCACAGAAAAATAAATATCCACCATTTTTTTTTTTTTTTTTTTTAAATAATTCTATTCATTGAGTTTCTGTGTAAAAATCTTGTTAGGTAAACAATTAGGTCACCGGCTACGGCCGAGTTGTTCCCTCGATGGAATTAAAGGTCATCGCTTCAGTTCAAATTTGGAGGAAAATCGGCTGGGATTTGACCTGGAGAGGGATCGAACCCACTCGGCCTTCTTGCCCCAACCCCCCCTGCGTATGAAGCAATACATCTCCTGCTTTCAATTCAAATATGGTAATTTCTTAAGCGTAGCTTAGATATGTCACAAAGCCGAAAGTATGGGACACCCAATGAGGATCGAACTCACTACTCAGTCGTAATTGTTCACGCGAGGCAAGTTTGCTAACGATTACACCATGTCGAGGTGCCAATGATTTTCCAAGCGTAGCTTAGATGTAGTTCAAGGCCGAGAGTATAGGGCACCCAGTGATGACCGAATTCACTACTCAGCCGCAGTTTTTCTAGAGGAACAAGCTTGTTAACCATTACACCAAGTCGAGGTGCTTATGATTTTCTAGCTTAGATGCTGCACAAGGCCGAAAATATGGGGAACTCAGTGCGGATCGAACTCACTATTTAGTTGTGATTGATCAAACGAAACAATCTTGCTAATTATTACACCACATCGAAGTGCCCTTTTCAACTCAAATATGTGCAGGGAACTGATCAGGTGTTCGGCCACGCTGCAACAGTACTGCCACACCCAATTATGGGTCTAATGTCGATGATGATGATGATGATGATGATGGCAACACGGGTTTTAGATTCTGTCGTTATTTCGGGCGTTTCAGGGATATACTTAACTTTATTGTTAATATCACAGCTGCAGTATGCCAGAATATGGTCCTGTAATCAATATCACACATGCAGATTTGGCCTGAGATGACCCTATCCGGGTTTGGAAACCAGCGATTCACTTGTTGTTTAGCCCGAGTAATGAACACCTATGGGCAAAACTGCACATGATATTTGAGAAGAACGGTTGCAGAAATGCCCCGGGCGATGAATTGGGCAGTCTTCTACGCATCGCATTGGAGAATGTAAGGAACCATATTTTTGACAAGGTTCCTGGCGCCTGCACATCGCGCTGATCAAGAGTAATTAACGAAGAATTAGAGTGTAATATAACCTCCAACGAAACATGAAAGATTCAAATCTTGCGTTCATATTTAAGTGGCGCATTCATTTCGTTACACAACGTTTCGG